CCAGAAGCTGTCACAGAGGGCACCTAGAGGCAGGATCTGCTCCTGTGTAACTGTTAGATGTGCAAGAACCAGGATTGCCAGAAAAAGTGTTAGATGTCTGATCAATTGACATAATTCTATGGTGAGCTTCTCTCCTCCGAGGCAAATCTCTTAAATAGTAAGGTCAAGGCTTTGTGTAATAAAAGGAAAGGAAGAGGAAGAGACTTGAGTGTATCCCTCTACTTTCTGCTGTCATATGTTACTGAAGATAGTTGTGAAGGTCTGCATCCTTCATGGACTGCATCTAGTGCAGGAACACCCCGGTTCTGATGTGTGTTGGTGTGTACTAAGGCAATTCAAATTAGATAACGCAGTCAAAGAAGGAATTGCCATAGGCAATACCATGGAAATTGAGTTCACGGGCAAAATTAGCATAATATCCTGGACCTGCTTTATTCTGACATGCTATAGAGGATGAGGATAAGAATGAACTTAAACTCACCCAGTCCAGAAGTGTCTGTTTCTTTCTGAGTCCTGAGGAATGGGAAGGCCTCCCAGCCATCTCTCTTTCCTGTTTTATTTGGCCTGATCACTTCCCCACACACACTATTAGCATGTTGGAACTAGAAGGCAATTTAAGTTACAATTCCTTTTCTTACTTCTTTGTTTTGTTTTGTGCAGTGGTTTTGCCTTTCTCTTAAAGATTACAGTTAGAATTTAAATGTGGATACCAGCAAGATTCAGAGACATGGAAAGGAAGACATGGAAATAGTCCTCATTTTCTACAGCATAAGGTTATGTAACCTCCAGTTATAGGCACTAGGGAAGCAGGGGGTCCCATGTCAAGAAATATAAGTTAGATTAAAAAATAATATTATATTGACTATTTTTTTCCATATTACTACTTGATAAATGTGAAATACTGGTGTTTATTTCAATTTCTGTGTTTTCACTTTCTTGAGTTATTCTCTGAAAATTGAATAAATTTGTATAGAAATGAGAGCTCTTATAAAACTAAAAATCAGCTGTACTCTCAAAACTTATCCAGATAGGTTTTCATCTGGTATGTCTCACAGATGATGTTGTTTTCATATAACTCTCACAGTACGTCATTTTAGATTTAATATTTCAGGATGTTCTAAGTGCAGAGAAAGCTTGGTGTTGGTAATGGATTGTACTGGACAAGCAGCTTTTAGCAGCACTGCTTTCAAGTGACTGCCTGCCTAAAACATGTTGAGGGAATAGAAAATACTCAGTACTCAAACCATATTTAAAGCAAAATTAATTCAGTTATAGTAGCATTTAAAGTGTTTTGCTACTAAGTGTAACTGATGTGCATATATTTCACCTGTAAGTATGTATATGGGAAGCAGTAGCAGAACTAAAATATATAAGGAGAGGCAAAGGAGAGTGAAATACAAAGGAGACCATTTTACATGTGCTGTCTCCTTTGTCTTGAATTTCATACACCCGTGCTGATGTCATTCTGGAAGAGGAAGAAGGTTGGCTCCATGTCCACCCACCACAGCTTTTCCAGTGAGCAGAGCCTCCCCAGCAGGGGGGTAAACCAGGCAATATTCTCTGCAGTGTCTCATCAGCTGTGGGGGAATAATGACAGCAGAGAGGCAGCTCTTGACACACCATTGATAACGTCAGGTCTCCAGAGCCTTTACACTCAGCTGCACCTCCTCACTCCTATGTTACAAATTTGCACCTGGGAGATAAGGCTGGAAACACTGGGAGTGCCAACTCTGGAGTTGCACCGCGGGCTTCTGGCTGGGCTCCTCCATCGCCTCATCCTGCAGGGTTTCAGCATCAGAGCTCAAACTTGGAGGGCACACTGCTGCTCTGACAGCAGACCTTCTCCTAACCACCTTATCCTTACAGTTCAGTCACGTCCCCCGGAGCTGCCACAGCCACAGTTATTTCTCCCCCCGAAGCTGAGCGATGGAGCAGTAGGTCAGTAGCAGGCACTGAGTGTGTGCCCTAGCCCTGGGTCAGCTGAGTTCAAGACAGATTTAGTCTGCCCTTTGCCAAGTGGGTGCACATCTGAATCTGGCCTTCTAAAGATAACAGAACTTCAGGCACGGAGATGTTTGCTTTGCTTTCTTTGAGAGCCGTGGTTTGGTTGCCAGTAACATTAATAGCGCTGGAAGATAAATCACACTGAATGTAAAAACTCTTGAGCTTCAGCATGCCGGGCAGATATCCATGTAGAGAGAAGGGCAATTAAATCCTCCTGCATTATAAACCTTATAGAATAAGGCTCTGGCTGAGGTCTTGCACATATGGGAAATTTTCTTTGGTGAAGCCTGATGAGTGGTCGTTCTGCTTGCCAATAATGTGCATAAATAAGAGGCTTAACAATTAGGAAAGAAGGAAAACAGAGATAATACACCTGTCAAACTTTTTGTATTATTAATGTGCAAGTGAAAAAACGTTATGCCTGTGCATGCTGTCGCCCTTGGTACCAGCTGTTGCCTGTGCACATGGGTGGGTATTTTACATTGGCTGAGCAGCTTTGCAGCCAGCAAGCTCTTTAACAGGCAACATTGATAACGGCAGTCTTCCACGCTCCATACAATTCATGCTATTCTTCAAATTAATAGTAATACTTATTAAAGCTTCATCTCTCATTTGCAAAGAAAACCTTCAATTAATGTTAATCAGCATCCTCAGAATGTGATCAGGCTGGGCTTGTAGCTGGACGTGCCGAAACAGTTCAACTGGCAGATGGAGCATTTTCCAACTATTCTAATTAATGGCTGCTCATTTCAAATGTTAATGCAATTAAATAAATAGGCAAAACAAATAAAAATAATACACGTTATGAAAATGCCTCTAGCAGACAGAGCTCTGATCCAAAAAGGAAGCCTTGCTCAGACCCAGAAAGGGCCTAGCCATCCCCTTCTGGCTCCATAAGGTGTAATAAAGACAAGCCTTACTTTTGTTCCTTGCTGTTTCCAACCATTTCTCTGGGACTGACATTTGTATCATTTCCATTTTAACCTGCTGGCATCAACTGAGACATTGCTTTTCCAAGTATTAGAATGTTTTTCTGCAGAAAATGGGAAAGCATTTCCTTCATATATTACAGGCTTGCTTTTCATGTAAGATTTAGATTGCCCCAACTCCTTGCCTTTTCTGTTTGAACTAATTACCTGATTTTAATTTTTTTTTTCCAAAGGTTTTACTTTCTGTGAACATTGTATACCCTAGCACCGATGTAGTTCCACATTTGTTTGGGCTTATAAAGAGTTCAATTAGCCCCTTAATGCCTAGTTCAGTCACAATTAAACCTTCCCTGTTGACTTGGGATTGGTCTTTCTAAAGGCAGTGGAGGTGTTTTTAATTATTCATTCGCTGGTTTGTTTCTTACAGCAGTCTCAGCTGTGCTTTATTATTCAAAGGTTAATGCAAACTGAGAACTGGATAAATTAAATCTGTTTGGCAGCTAGCAACCTGATGTATTAGAGACACTGTGAAACATGGATGGCAACACTTCTGCTATTGTGACACTTAAAAAGCCAGTTTTTTATCTTTAAAACAATTACTACTTTTGTTACTGTGGATGATAGAAATTGAATGTTCCATAATGTTATAGTTTCTGTAACCCACTTTTGTTAAGAAAGCATGTAGTTTAGAAAGCCAAGCAGTGTTAACAGCTATTATAGAAAATTGATGTCGGTACCATGACTAATGAAGTACAGCATGCAGTGCTAAGTGACACAGTTGTATGCAGGGAATCATGCAGTCAGAAGTTTTAATGAAGGGAGCCCAAGGAATTTCAGGTGAAAGCGAGTTTTATTAACTTTCAGTGAACAAAATGAATAGTTGAGCAGTGAACATGACATGATGTCGTATAATAATTGTATGCCTTGGGTACATTGTAAGGCATGGAGCATAGCCAAGAGCTTTCATCTGTTCTATACACAGGGTTATTTCACAAACCCCTGCATGCTGTGGAAATCTTTATTGCAAACATAACAAGAATTGTTTCACGACAAATGCCTTAAGACAATACCAAATCACTTATTTGAAATATCTACCAGCACTGCCTTCCTCTGAAAAATATTATTCAGATATCTCAAAGTCACCATCCCGATTGATCCTAATTAAAATTCAGCTCCTGTATTAGTGACTGGTATCAGCAGGCTGTGAACCAAAAGAAGCCTTCATATTCCTTAAGAGGCCGCTCTGAGTACAATCTGTATTTCTATGGACAAGTATTATGTTGCATGAAAGGAGGCTGTGTTGGCTTTTGGAAGAGTCATGACCCAGAACTTTTATGAGTTTTAATTTTATTTTTTCAGGAATTGAAAGTGAGAGATTTTTCAGGTTTCACATACAGGATTGTGTTTTGTGTATTTAGGTTTTGTTTCAGTAGTGCATTTTTAAATGAGGACTTTGAAGGAACATAATCCAAATGTTTATCCTGCTTACTATTTATAATATTTTTAAGATAGGGTAATGATTGCAGAGCAAAGCAACCTTCTGTACTAGTGACTGGAGACCGTAGGTTAGTAACTTAGAAAGTGGAGATGCAAGGTTGTGTGTTCTCTCCTCAGTCTTTAGTGCAGCCTGTGCTGTATAATAATGTGCATAATTACACTGCTACTGACTGATGAGGTAGGTGGATGAGGAGGCAGGTGAAAATAGGAAGGCTTGTGAGGCAAGACAGTGGCAACATCTCAGCAAAGTCTCTGTACCCTTGCACTGTAAATACTTCACATCTACCCACTAAAATATTTGAAATAAAACAGTCAGGAATTTTTCTGTGCTTATTTGAATATTTTATAATGTGATTTAAACGCTTCTTCCTGGCTAGATATATCACTTCACTGACAGAGCTTAGAATACTAGTAATGCGTTTTATCCAGGACTAACTTAATGAATGTGATACACAAATTTAACCTGTAGAGATCTTGCAAAAACAGCAGTACTAGTAGTCAAGTATAACTGATGCAGTATATTCTTGATTGTATGTGGTTATTATGTTATATTTTTGTTTTCTGTTTTAGTGCTGGACCCAAAGGAGACAACATTTATGAATGGAGGTCAACTATACTGGGGCCTCCAGGGTCTGTATATGAAGGTGGAGTTTTCTTCCTTGACATTACCTTTTCACCGGACTATCCTTTTAAACCACCTAAGGTTAGTAAGAGGATATTAAAAGTCTGATAGGATCCTCTCCTTGTGATATTTTTTAATGTGTGTGTTCATGTATCTGTAGGATGAAACATAAAACTTTCAAGGCAACAATGAATATTTAAACTGAGTATTTTGATGGAAAGAATTTAAATAACTGCCTAAAATTTGCCTGCATGTTGCTAATATAGCTGGATGAATATGGATTTATTTAGCAAATGGTTGCATAATTTTCAGCAGTTATTTGCTTTGGATTTGTTTCTAATATGAAAGTATTTATATTTGAGTTGCACCCTTTCTAAGCAGCTGAAAATACTTAATCTTTCCCGTTGACCCATATCGTTCATCAGGGGTCCTTGGCAGTCTGACAAAAATAAGCATCTTTTGCATTACCCCATATAAATTACTTCTGCAGATGCAAGACACAGTGTTGTTCATGAAGTTATAAGTAATTGCTGTACATCAGTCTTCTGATAAAATGTGGAAATACAGAAGCAACGGCAAGAAACTGGAGTGAAAGACAGAAATTTACAGAATTCCTTAAGGGAGTCCATTTTTAATGCTCTCAATAAGGACACTAAACACAAATGTAGAACTGTACCAATAACATTACCTTGAAAAATCTAGTTATTATGAAGACTGGAAAAACAGAAGTGCAATGCAATGATACTCAATAGTGCAATGTCACAGATGACCAGTAGTATTAATTGCTGAGGGAGGGTGCCAAAATGGGGTTGCATGGGTTTATTACAAACCACCTGTCGGTTGAATCTATAAAAAAGTCAAATGCACTGCTAAGATGCATCCTCTGGCATTGCCTGTAGAGATAAGGAATTACCAATGTCATATTCAAGACACTTCTAAGACATTGGGAAGACTGAGTGCAATTCTTTAAACACATGTTTACTAACAGGAACAAACTGGAAATATTTACCCCACAGGGCAGTTAATAGAATCAAAGAGCCTGTCTTTTATGAAGCAAAGTGCAAAGAGCTGAATTGGTCACTTTTCCAATGTGGAGAGTGAGGGTCTGGAACAGCTCCCTCGGAGGAGCTGTGGGAGCAAAAATACCTTCTTTTTGACACATCTGTGAAAGGGTTGGTATGCCACCTTGGTCTGTAATAGAAGGGTATTACATTAAAAGAGAGAGTAGCTAATTCCTATTGGATAACCGTGAGTACTCTTATTGAAAGAGAAGTGTTTATAATAGTTAACATTAATATTATCAGAAAAAGTTTTTTTAAAGAACAAGATACGTCAATTCAAAGTACTTGTCATTCTGTAAATTGGAATTTCTCAGCCGGAGACCTAAAGATGGATCAGTAATGGATAGTGGTAATAGAGATGGTCCCCTTTTCACCAGACTATCCTTATAAACCACGTAAGGTTAGTTTCCCACCTGGAGTGTTCCAGCTTATGAAAGCTTTGAGATCACAGACAAGTCTTACAGGGACTGTACACCTTGCTGACTGCACATTTTCCGATTCAGAGTAACGGTGATTAGACAGTGAAGAAAGAATTTGAAACTTTAGAACTTCTCCTTCAGTTAGTTACAGCTTTGGGCACACTGAGCTGGGGCAGTGCCCTGTTTGTCCTGCTTCCTTCCTAGGCCAGTCCAGACTTCTTACTTGCTATACAAGGTCTATCTTAAGGCCCTTTTTGTTTGCTTCTTTGCTGGGCTTAGTTTGTTTGTAGCAGCTGTAATGCAAGGGTTACATTCAGTCCCTCAGCAAATAAAAATTATATTATTTACAGGATACTGGCAAATCCACTACGTGGATTTATTGAGTATAAAACAGAGCTTGAATTTCTCACAGAGATCCAAAGCTAATATCTAAAGAACTAGATCTGAAAGACAAGCTGGAGGGATATTTTTTGTCATTCTCTCTGTTGAATATGGTAAGTCCTGAAGGAATATATACAATAGGCATCCTTTTGAAATAAAAGGTGAAGGTCCAGTTTGCTGTTTAACCGTGAGGTACAGACTTTTTCAATCCACACTCAGTTGTGTTTGGCAACCATATTATTTTGATACATGAGTAATACAGCTGTACATTGCTCATTACTGAAATATCAGGCAAAGAGATGGTTCTTGTCCTGCTTTGTATGAATATTTTGTCTGCCTTTATCTTGATGCCAATTGTCATTTATATAAATCATACAAAAATGTATTGCTTGATAAAGGATGAGAGTTGATGATGCCATGTTGTATTACTAAAAAGCCAGTATTTATGGTGAGGGAAATTGTTATCTGTAAGAAAGTAGTGAGTACATGTACACAGGAGACTATTGTCAGACATAACTATGTCACTAGCATATTTTGTACACATGGATTCTTATTCTGTTCACTTCAGCCACTGTTGTAAGTGATTGTGACCTCTGTTTTCAGTCCTGCCATAACATCTCTCAAACTGTTGCTATTTCATTTCACCTGTTTTCCAGACTCTATGCAACTGATTCATAGGTAAATAGTTTGGGAAATCCCTTGAATAAAACAGCATGGGAAGATGATTGCTTCTCATAAGGTAGCTGCTGCCAGTCAGTATTGCTGGGAAATGGTGGTTAAATATGTTCACCACACACTTATTTCTAGAAAAAAAAGGTAGTGAGTGTGTGGAACGTGACATATGGCCTCACGGTACAGTGCTCCCTGTGTCAGTGAGTGTTGACATCTCTTCTGCTTCACCACAAGATTTGTGATACTCAGTCTCAGAATCATGGGTCCTAGGGTTATGGGAATAGAGCATTTTAGATGTTTTTTCTAAGTATATTTGAATTCCTTATGGCTCTATCATCTTATAAAATTTAGAGATAAAGTACAAGACTGTGGAATGTACTTTGAAAGATAAAATGTATTCCTGAGTGTTGGTAAGATTACCCCCCAGTAAGTACATAAGCAGAGTCTAATGCAGATTTCTCGCTATGGCTGAATTAATACATTCCTTCTGAGATTTCTGTGGGTCATTTTCATCCCTCTTTTACTATGAAGTAAAGAAACATTTAAATGAGTGCTGTCAAAATTGATCTTCTAAAAATGTGACCACAAAAGACTTGGGAAGAAACAGAAACTGAATTTCCCAGATGCAATTACTTGACCCAGCCTGAATTTCCAAAGGCAATGCTAATGTCACATATCATAGTTCTTGTTAAAGGTCCTAATCCAAAGAGTATTAAAATCTGCAGAAATATTTCCACAATCACTTTTCTTTATCTATTCTCAGATGTTACCACTCTGATTTCTATCTGTTGTCTTACCACACATATATGTTGCACCTGTATCTTGCGAAGGTTAAAATAATTTTTAAAACAAGAAAAATATATTGAAAGTGGACTCTGGATAAATGCCTTTTATTATTGTTATTGTTGCTGTTGCTGTTGTTGTTATTATTAAAATACATCAGCAGTGTAACCATTGTTTGGTTTATATTATACAAGGTTCTCAGTATTTTCTAAAGGATCCAGACTCCTTCTATAAACACTGTTGATGCCTATTCTGATCATTGGACACCCTGCCGCATATTAGAAAGCATTAAATAAAACAAAATTAAACATCTGAGAGTACATTTATGCATAAAGAAAATATGTTTCTCCTGTATTTTTGGGTTTTTTAACAAATGTATAAAGTAATTTTCATTTGTCTTCTAGATAGTTAACCTGCTTTCCCACCTTGTCTTTATCACACAGAAGAAACTGAATAATTCATTCAGATTTTGTTTAAATTAAGAAAATAATCTATCCAAACCTTTCAACTTTATGTATTTCTTCAGCTTTTACATCTTTGTAGCTTTCAATATCCCATCTTCTTCAGATTTTAAAGTTTTATCTCTAATCTTTGCATCCTCTAATTATACTGTGTGGTCCAGCTCCTATTCCTAGTTTTGTATAGACACGCATCACTGCCATCCGGTTTCCCTTCCAGCCTGCACCACCCAGTCTTTCCCTTACAAGTCCTTCCTTTTCTTTTTGTCTGTCCTTACCTGTCAATGTCTTTCTGAAGTTAGGACATAAGCATAATATCAAATTAAGTTATTCTTCACCAAAACAGACTATACCATGTGGAAGGTTAGAGTATAATTTTATGTCATAATATTAGTTTCTTTTCCTTTTGTAGTCAGTCTATTTCAGTCTTTTCAGCTTTGTCCCATGCCTTGAAACTGGACTCCAGATTTTCCAGGCTGTAGGTCACTTACCCTTTCAGCCCTGCTTTCCTTTTAAATCAGTGGCATTTGGCTTCACTTGCAACTGCAGCACAGTCATGGAGTGGAGGGAGTTGTTCTTCCCAAAAAGTTTATGGGTGTGACTGATGCAGCCTGAATAGGAAGGAATGAGGAAGGGCCATCCCAGCCTAACTATTTCTTTTTCCTACAACCAGAGAACAGGATTTTTAGAACATCTCATCTGAGAACTGACAAATTAGCTTTGGCTTTCTGGGAGGCTCTAATCAATTAAAAATATTTCCTCGCCTCCACTGTGAGGGAGCTCCTGTAGCACTGCGGAAATGAGCTGAGCGCCCACTTGGCTGAGTCAGCAAGAAAGCAGCCAGCCTGCAGAACCGCCGCTCCCTTCTCAGCTGCATCCGAAGCATCACCTTGGTTTTATGAGATGCCAGGCAAGAGGAAAGTGTGGAACAGACAAAGCTAGATGCAGACGTGATCTCACCTCCTGCTAAAGACCAGATGTTGCTGAGGCTTCTGTCTCGGTCACAAGGTGAGGTTTCACTTCAGCCTAAAAATACAGCATCCCTTGGAATGCAGTGGGCTGAAGAACAGAGAAAGCTGTGCCCTGTTCAGAGCTGCCACTTAAATAAATGAGTAAAAATACTTGGATGGCCTGCCTTAGGTTTCTCCAGTGCTTTAATGACCCCTCAACCTTTTTTTAGAAATACCGTTGAGATTTCTTTTTCCTGCTAACTAGCTTCCTTTCATACTTAATGGATTCAGACAGTTCACCCCTTGGCTTTTAACAAAGGAAAATTCTCTCTTGCTCTGTCTCTTTCTTTGGGGCAT